TAAGATTCTGAGATATTGAGCTTCAAAGTTGAAATTTAGTCGAAATTTTGCCCAAAACTTTAAACTCGATTTTCTCAAAAACCGTAAATGTTCGCGATTTCAGCGAACCACCATTTTGGAGCTTTTATTGACAGCTACAATTAAAGATAATTTTGTCCCGGTACCGAGACATTTAGGTTTGAAAATTTGCAAATTAAAATTCAAAAGGGAAAAAATACCAAAAATTGAAAATTTTTGTTTTTGGATTTTTCTCAATTTCAACTTTCTAAATCGATACAGCGAGTCCAAATTAGTCAGAAACAACTGTCACATTAGTTACATTTGAAAATTTCTATGAGAAAAAAATCCAAAAAGAAATCCCATTTTTGACTTTGGAAATTTTTTGAAATCTTGACATGCTCATGAATAATTGCTCATATCTTCAATGAAATTTGGAAAACTTGATTATAATTATACATCATTTGAAAGAGTAATAAATTCTCTATAAGCCCTGCAAAATTGGTTTTTGTAACTTGTAAAGTTTCCGAGATATTAGACTTCAAAGTTGAAATTTAGTCGACATTTTGTCTAAAACTTCAACTCGATTTTTACAAAAACTGTAAACGATAGAGATTTCAGTAAAGTACCATTTTGAAGCACTATTTGAGAGCTCCAACTAAAGGTTAGTTTGTCCCGGTAACGTTTTTGGTTACCGAGATAATTAGATTACAAGATTTGCAAATTAAAATTCAAAGGGGTAGGTACCCTTAGGACAAGTACCAAAAACCGAAAATTTTTATTTTTGGATTTTTCTCAATTCTGACTTCTTAAATCGATGGAGCGAGTTCAAATTAGTCAGAAACAACTCTAACATCAGTGACATTTGAAAATTTCGATCAGAAAAAAAATTCCAAAAAAGAAATCAAATTTTTGACTCTGAACTAGGGTTGCCAACTTTTGAAATTCGTTCACCCGAAGATTTTTCTGCGACTGAAATAAAAATGGCGTTTCCCAAAAATATATGTTAAATGCTGAAACAGCAAAACCAAGGTTGTTTTAGAGAGGTAGGTTGCCTGATAACTTTATGACGTCATCTGGGGTGCCCCAACATATAATACAAATCTCTATAATGCACCCAGATGCGTCATCAAGTTACCCATTACCAGACAACCTATTTAACTTTAGAAACTTTGCAGAAAAACAGACATAAAAAAATCAAAAACTAAAAATAAGACATTTCATTCCGCAACATAGTAAGTGCGACAAGTGAGTAAACCTGTGGGGAAGGAATGCGGGCATAACCCTCCTGATTGGCCCGAGATTAAATATACATATACGCGGGTCGTCACGTCAGGGTAAACGCAATTTTCGTAATACACCACGTCGGGGACCCGTCGTGTCGTATAGTATAGCTTTTCGTCTTCCCCTCTGCTACTTCATACGTTACCAAGGTTCACTCACGTGTCGCACTTTACACACTTATTAAAATCTATACCTACCTACAATGTTAAAGAAATTGTTTTGATAGTTCTAATAGCCAAATAAATTTTCTAATTTTTTGCCATGTTACGCAAATCGCCCAATCATTTCAACATTAAACTGAAAACAGATCCCATGAGCTGTGTTTCTAGGTATGTTCTCACAGAAATCAGAAACCAGTTAGAGCTTTTTTGATTGGTGCAAATCTTCAACAGCCAGTTTTTTGACTATTTTCAACCAATGAAATTCACTTTGACTGGCTTGTGATTTCGGTGAGAACAGACCTTCTATCACGTTGTCTCTGTCTTTGCGTGTATTTGGTTACTTCAAGAAAGAATTTATATTGCGCAATTTGAGGTTGAAATGTTGTTATGACGTTACCATGCCATTCAAGTCGCATGAGTTTTTCAGGAAACATATTTTATGTTTGTATCTTGGTTTTTATTTAACTCCTACGAGTTCTACCTGGAGAAATATACATGTAATCCGGAGACCGGAGAATTACCTTGAAAATCCGGAGACTCCGGGTCAAAACCGGAATGTTGGCAACCCTGCTCTGAACATTTATTGGAATCTTGACATGCTTGACATGAATAATTATTGCTCATATCTTCAATGATATTTGAGAAAATTGCCTACAATTATGCATCATTGAAAAGAATATTGAATTCTCTATAAGCCGATATAATTGATGAAAAATTCCCAAACTGTTGCTTCAACCCTCCTTTGGGTAAATTGAAAATTTAACCTTTTTTAAGAAATCTTTGAAAATATAAGCAAATTTTTGTTTTCTACCGTTGTTATAATCAGTAAAAGTTTCAAAAATAATAATTTATTCTCAATTTTTATATTATTTTATTGTTCTGATGTGAACGCACCCAAAGTTAGTCAATGCAATTTCGAAAGTTGAATTGATTAGTCATGAAATGGCGCTCTGTATCAACCCGATCGAAATGACTTGGTTTACACCGGCATCTTTTGATGAAAATCCAGAAATAAAATCTAATGTTTTGGCTCAAAGACGAAACGTCGGATTTAAAATTTGATAATGCCATATTGTAGAGGAGGGGCAATGGTGAAGAGTCAGTTATTTTGAGGTATGTCTCCAATAAAAAAATAAAACCTATTTTGTAAAATTTCTTGTTTTTCCAAATATCTCCGGAAGTATTAGGAATTTCTTTTTCAAATTGCGAAACGGTATTTTAGTGAGCAAGAAATTGTGTAAATTTGTCCCAATTTAACCGACCTTGACTTTTTCGCGTTTTAGGAATGTGCCGGAAACTTTACTCAATTACTTGCAAAATATCGGGAATGTTATGTGTTATATTTTATGCCAACACTAACAAATAGAAAAAGAAAATTTAGGATAAGAAATACTTATTGTCTATAGTTTCTTTTTCAGTTAATTATTATTGATATCTTAGGCCGGAGTTGCCCAATTCTTTAATTCTCAATATTTATCCTTAATTCTTAAAAAGTTCAATTTATTCAAAATTGGTGTTTTTAAAGATTAATTAATTAAGATTAATTAATTAAGAACAAAAATTAAGAATTAAGGAATTGGGTAACCATGGCGTTAGTACGTTCATTACCCTTTATGGGTATTGAACATTATTGTTGTACATATTTAGAGCTATTAAGAAACTATTAAAAAAAATTATTTTTGTTTTGATAATAATTCATACTAATGCTGTTCAAAAGTTCAACATTTCCGGTAAAATCCCCATCTCTGGCTAATTTATTTTATTTATCAATTAAACAAAATGAACTTTCAGAGTCGGCTGTATTGAAAAAAAAAACATATTGCCGAAACAAAAACTTTTTTATTTTTGTTCGTGAGAGTAATCCGGTGTCACGCCAACAATTGTCCAAATTGGATTTTCGATTTTTCAATCAGAAAGACATTTTTGTCAAGAGTATTGCATTCTCGAGGGTGAAATTGGAGTTTTATGGAGTTTTCGAGTGGATATACTTTTCACAACTCGACAAGGGGCGGTTTATTGAACGTGAGAAGAAAATAGAGAGTGCATTATTGTATTTTTTTTCTTCTTGAAACAACTAAATTTTGCCATTAAAAAATAAATACATATTTATTCAATATTGGATACATAAACTATAATTGGAGAATGGAAAATTAACTGGCTTAGTCATAATGTTCATTAAAATAGTTTGATATTCAATAGGCAATAAAAAGTGTATTTTTTATTCTAAATATAGCAATGCAGAACATAATTCATTGCAGATAAATAAAGTAGAGACTAAGAACTCTAGGAGACCTTAGCTAACCTTTTTTAACACTTCACAGAAAAATTAACTAAAAGCTTTAATAAGATCAGCTGAGGATATAATTATTATATAGATACAAATATGTTTATTGACTTCAAACAGCCATCGCCATCCTGTAAAAGCCTAACAAGACCTGTCAACAAACCAAAAGTTCAGTATAATCCAGAAGGCTTTTTAGTACCGAGCCAATGTCACGTGTACGAGACCATTCATTAAAACTAAAACGCGCTGCTGACGCAATAAACGAGCTTAATACTTTTGTCTTATAGGATCTGATCGACCGGAAAAGCAAAATTTAGAGACACATCAAAATATTACGCGAAAGTGTGTGCGAAAAGCGGGAACAATCCGGAAAAACTGAAGGGAGGGTATGGATTATTACCGGCGGAACGGTGTTGCCAAACGCAACTAGAAGTAGAAATTGCCAATAATGCCAAATATCTATGTTTGTCTATATATTTTCTTATAACTCATTTCCAATTTAAAACATGAACAAATTTTCCAAACATCTACTACATCTAATCGTTGTTACACATATGAAAAAGTTCGATTCCCACACAGAGCCAAGTTGTTTTCCATCCAATAATTGCATGAATGATGTAAACTAAAACGTTTTGTCTATTTTTGTAGTGATCCCGAAACATTTAACAATAAAGTCATGTTTGCTGAATTTAAAACTGCTGCTATTTTGATCTGGGTAAAATTAGCGTCAATTTTCTTAATTGAAATTAATAATTGTTCAATAGATAAACAATTTAATTTTGTATGTAGTTTCTTATTTGTCAAAATTTTTCCGGATACACGGCAATCCCGTATATTGTGACAAACGGGCATGCGTCACCTGTTTGCGTTCGGGACGTCTCCCTTTACACACTTTAGCAGTCAATAAATAAAACTCTATAATAGAGAGGGGGTTGATGGTTTTATGTGATATCATATCCGCTGGTTGTTTATTATCAACCAATTAAAAGGAAAAAGAGCAAACAGTGAATTTTTGTTTTTATTATTAATAGGATCTTTTAGTATTTCGTTTTTCTACGTAGCTAGAAACAATTCCGCTTGCGATAAATTGAAAATGCTTTATTACCGAAATGACCATGATAACCTCGATCGTAACTCTTTAATGTGAAATCACACTTCTACCCGATAAAAACTTTATTAGCCAATTATTAGCTACAACGATTATTGTTTCATTTAGTGGCATTTTATGGTTTTTCATATTTGCTAATCATCCATACTGTTAAAAAACTGCTTACCTTTCAAAGTCGGAAGCATTTCCAGCTCTCTGTTTTTGGTAATGTTGAACCTGGAACTGGAATGGCGCTTATCCTTCTTGATAAGAGGACCCTGTATTGCTCCGGCAGTGAGTTTCGTCTTGTTGAGCGGCGTTTGAGGCGGCGGGCCTTGGTGAAGATTATTTTTTGGCTAAAACAGAAAAAAAAACATACATTTTAATAAAATATCGTTGTGTATCTATGCATATTTCACTTTTGTCCAGGGGTCATAGATGGAAGATAGATTTGTGATTGTGGATAAAATAATTATTGTTCTCTATTATTTCGAGACGTTTTAGGTTTAGTGATAATGGAGGATAAACAGTGAGTTCATTAAAGAACAACTGAAGAAAGATGTTAAATACCTAACAATAATTTTGAAGAAAATATTAAAGAAAATAAAAACGAAGATTATAAGGGAAACAAAGAATTTCAAGATAGTATTTGAATGAGAATTAATAAATTCCACAAATAGACCAAAGACGAAAAAAAAAAGCACAATAAATAATATTTGACAGAAAACAGAGCCAGCCAAAGGGAGTATTGAGATTCCAAAAATTGAATTAGAAAATAAGTCTTCCATAGATGTTTTTGAATGATTACATTCCACATTGTTCACAGATGATTATATTCAAATTTTTATAACGGTGGTGTGTGATTGATCTAGCAACTGTGGAGAATAATGAGTATTAAGCTGTCATTGCTCAAATAAAGTGATTATTTAATTGAAATCAGCAGTAAAGTATGGATATACACATGTACCTACATCAATAATAGTTGTGGAGTTAATGAAATTTTATTAACTCCTTTGAACGATCAAAGTCCGCCTTCTCGCCCACCGAATTCACAAATCCAAATATTTTGTATTCGCCTGGATTCCAAACATTTATTTTAAAACTTGATGGGACCCTGGCGCGTTAAAATTGTAAACAAACGAATTAAAAAAAGATCTCCGATCTCTGACATAATATCATAGAAATTATTTCAGGCGGTTTTGTTACCAATCTATACTAATAGAAGAATGGTAGTTAGTCATCAACTATAAACACACAGGCCAAACTACTTGACCTACAGTTATGAAACTTGGAGGACTTATTGGGTTTATGACGTAGGCTCTCGCTAAGAAAGGATTTTTGAAAATTTCACCCCCAAGGGGGTTAAAATAGGGGTTGAAATATTAAAGAGGATTTCTGTATCTCAGAAACGGGAAGCCGCAACGATCTGAAAATTGGCATATAGATTCTACCAACAAAATAAGTGAACACGTATTTCAGAGTTTTTTCAAATTTTTTACTGGGGGCGGAAAAATAGGGGTAATTTGATTTCGAGAGGGGTGAAGGGATTTTCCTTATCTCGGAAACGAAAAGTCACAGATGTTTAAGAATTAAGATGTAGACTCTACTCGAGGGGTTTTTCACCTTGTTAATCGGTGTACAAATCATTGGTTAATGTATGTCAATACCAGGTAAATACTATGTCAATAGTGTCAATACTATGCAATACCTACTTGTTGATTATGTAGATAATATATGTCAATACTTGTAGATATCTAGACAATATATGTTAATGTCATTGGTTGATACCCATTAATAACATATAAATACCTGTGGATATATCAATAACAAGAATTCTGGCGTGACAAATATTTGATTTAAGTCTGTCAATAGCATGGCATGCTAGGGAAATACCTGGCAATATGTGGAAATATTTTGTTAATACATGGAAATAGTTGGCAATAACTTGTTATTAGGTACACAGAAATATCTATTAATACATACATGGAAATATCTTAATTAGTACTGTTCGAGGTACTGTTAATCGGTGTACTAATTTTGTTAGGTGAAAAACCCCTCGACTCTACTTATAAAATAATAGGACCCGTGTTTCGGCGTTTTTCTATTACCTCCCCTATTACCCCCCTATGTCCACAATTATCATTAAAAAAATTGAGCTTCAAAAATATGAGGTGTGGGGTATCAAATTGAAGGAAATAAAGCACGGAATCTAAAAAAAGGGTTCATATTTGGTTTTCTATTATCTCCTTTATCATCCCCCTATGTCCTCCCCATCTTCATGAAAAAATTGTTCTTCCGAAAATATAGGTTGTGTGGTATCAAACTGAAGGAAATAAAGCATGAAATCTAAAAAAGTGTTTGGAATTGGTTTGGTAATTTCTTTATTACCCCCCCCCCTTATATTGGATAAAAAAAAGCTTTTAGGAAATCAACAAATCAACAAAAAAATTAAAAAGAAGTGTATTATTTCAAAATTATTTTCACCCTAGCAACCCAGCGGGCAATTAGCTAGTAATTGATATTATTTTCTATGTCTACAATACAAAGAATCATTTCGATCTTATTCATGTGAAGGGGTCTGAGAGCAGAGTGTTTACTACATATTATAAAAGAGAAATTTTACCAGAGTATTCACAAATGTAAAATGTGAGAGGAAAGAAAACTCCATCCAATTCCTGAAGCAGGATTCTAGGTTTTGTTAAAAAAAAAAAAATCAAGGGAAACACACACCGAGGGGTTTAAGGATGTCTAATGAGTACTTAAGCAGTTACCGCTGGGTTTTCTACAAGACTTCCAGAACAGAATTGACTCGGGAATTGATAACTTTTCAAATAATAAATAAGACACTTGAAATATGATTAATGATTTAAGGGGCAAAAATTTCAATATCAATCCCTACATAACCTAAATTAAAATTGTAATTTTTTACTGAAACTAGGTGTTTCTGCCATTTCTTAACACAATCCTAGGGGTCCGTGGCTAACTAATAACTTGACATATCTTATGTCTTTTCGAAATAGAGCTTTAACAAAATATAAAAGAAATAAAACTGCTACTTCCTGGGAGACACGGCTATTTGCACCACTATAACTTAAGGGATATTTCATTCAAATGGAGCTTTGATGGCTATTTGCACGACCATCACTTAAGGGGTATTTAATCTAAGTGGAGCCTTGAATCCCATCAGGCTATTAAAAAGTAAATTAAATTCCAGAAATCTCACTAAGGCCATAAACACATACGCCATTCCTACTCTTACATACTCATTCGGAATCATCAAGTGGTCCGAAACTGACCTGGAAAACATCAAGATCCTCATGCGCTCTGAACTTACCAAACACAGAAATTCACACCCCAATTCATGCAAGGAAGGCAAATACAAACACTTAGAAAATTCTTCCATGCTAGACAGACTGGGCTCCACACAGCGATAAACATAGCAGATAAAAACTATACACCCCTCAACCTATCCCAAACAACACATCCAATAGACATATACAACGACACACAATTTCAACAGAGGAAAATGAACACCTGGTCAGAAAAGATTCTGCATGGACAGCACAGATACCACATGAAACAAGATTATTCTAATCAAAAATCATCATACACCTGGAAAGAGGATGGTCAGCTCTTTCCCGAAACGGAAGGATTCCTGCTCGCGATCCAAGATAAGGTCATAACAACCAGTAATTATCAGAAATATATCATCAAAGACCTGGCTACAGCAGATGATACATGCAGGAAATGCCACCTCCAAAAGGAAACAATTGAGCATATTACGAGTGGATGCAAGTCCCTAGCCTGCTCAGAATACACAGCAAGATATAACGCAGCAGCAAAAGTAATCCACCAAGCACTGGCCACAGCATTCAAACTAATAGAAAACACATAGTCATACTACAAATACACACCATCTTCTATACTCGAAAGGAAGGATTTCAAACTATACATTCAAATCACACCTGAAACAGCTAGAACTCAACACTAACATACACAAAAACTTTCAGAAATCAGTCATCTTAAAAACATGCCATATTGTAAGATCATTATTCAATTCAATTTAATAATAATAGTATTTGCAGTGACTTAGCATAGACCGTCACAGCAACATTAAACCACAATTCTGTGAGAAAATTTCAAATTCAATGATAATAATAATAATAATAATAAATGGCTTTATGCACTTTTGGGAATAAAAGTACCCGTTTAATCCCTGTTTTAAGAGAGTAAAGTGAGTCTTTTAATCCCTGGGATTAAATTCCACCTTATTTCCCAAGGGATTAAATTTTTACTTTATTTCCCAGGGATTAAATGAAACAGTGATTGAAAGGGTACTTTTAATCCCTCCAAAGTACTTCAAATTGTGTATACACCTCAAGACTAAAGTGTTTTTTAGTCCTTCGACAAGTTATAGCCCTCCCTTCGGTCAGGCTATAAATTTTTTGTCTCGGGATTAAAAGTACTACTTTAGCCCCTGGGTGTATAATGTACTATTATTGTAATTTATCAATTTAAATGGCGGAGTTGAAGCACAGCTTTCTATCTCAACCAGAGCATAATAGTACAATCATGACAGAACAAAATACAGAGTATTATCGCTGATTGGTATTACTTTCAATCACAAGTCATAAGACTAGCACGGGTGCTGATACAAAGAAAAAATATAGGAATACAAAAATAAAAAGAATAAAGCATAAGGAAAATGGATAAAGTTAGTTAATCCCATTTATACAGGAGAGACAATGGGGGTGATGGTACGAGCTCAGACAAAAACTTTAATATTTTGCTCGACAAAGTGCTTAAACTTGTAATCAGAGGTTGTTTTGTAATCAGCAGGAATTTTACTGCAGATTTTTGATATTTTGTCGCTAAATGATCTTCCATGCAAGTTTCAAGTTTTCAGGAACCACCATCTTTTTACTTTCGAATAAATATCAAGCTCCCCCAACAGTCTCCAGTTCTTCTTTGGCCCATTGTTTTGAATATTTGTTTCAATTCACCTTTTTCCCCTGTCAATAGGTATACTAACACTAACACTAACTGTATTTCTTAGATGTCTATTGGCTATTTGCACGGCTATCACTTAATGGATATTTCTAACGGCTATTTGCACCGCTACAACGGGATATTTAATCCTAGTGAAGCTTTGAATGCGACTCTTGTAGAAACAGAAGTCACAATCAGAGCTCCACTTAGATTAAATATCCCTTAAGTGACAGCCGTGCAAAAAGCCATAAGTGGAGCTTTGAATGTAACTTTTGTTTTTACAAGAGTTACATTCGAAGCTTCACTTGGATTCTTGCAGGAGTTGGGATGTAGTTTTCTGGGTCTGGTGAGCTCTGATCTAGTGAGG